TCAAATGGCTGTCACAAGGATAAATCGTGGAATTTGTTTTTATAATACTTAAATACTTTATTAATCTTAAATTACAGCAACCTCGGTGTACAAAGTTTTAACATTGCCCTTAAAGTAGGTACTTACTACAAAATTATTATTTAGATAAGTTTCGACTGGCACGTTCCCTTGAACCAGAGTTTGACACTACTTAAATTAATGTTTGTGTAAATAATCATTTAAATACCGAATTATTAAATGAAATGAAATAATTATTCGTTATTTGAATAAAATTAAACAAATTCTTCGAGATAATAAAATTATTTGTTATTCATAAAAGTAGCTTCGATTACTATTTGCTAATTACTATATATCACTTGCTATTTACTATTCAACAGTTTGTTAAACGAACATTTTGCATCTATTCACACGCTGATCTTGTCGAACTATATGTATACAAGAAAGTTTAAGGAAAGGAACAATATTCATTTGACAAATATCGTTGAGATTACAACAAACAACAGAGAATTAAAAACTATTAATCATTTCCATCTAAAAGGAGTTATGAAAACAAATTAGTTATGCAATTATTAAAATTAATTTCGTTCAATTCCAAAAGCATATTAATTATCTGCTATTAATATCTCATCCTTATTCGTTACTTATTACAAATTTGTTTAAGTAAAAATGTGCCCAACAGCGCCTTGAACGCAATGGTCGTTTCTCCAATTTCGATCTTAATTTGTGGTCCATTAGTATTTACAAGGTATCCTTGTAACGGCGATCGCTGCTATTAAATTTTCGACGTCAGGCAGCAGCCACGAGGATTGTGGGCATTATCGCAAATCGGGTAAACGGCAGGGAATGTCATTTTTTGTCCCGCAGAATCGCAAGAGACTTCTCCCCTCCCCCGATTCGGCGGAAAACCTTGATTCTTGTTCATCAACCGCATTTTCTGATTGTAACAATCGCATTATTATTCTCTGGTTACGTGAGTCATACCTACGATGCAGAGGAGAAATGACTTTGTTTGACAGTGGGACTGCGGTTTCTTCGCCGGTGATCGTGAACTAAAAAAATCGTGGTGTCCTTAATGACGAAATCCCCCTCGTTGTCTCAGGGCAGACGATTTAAGGGGTATTGCCACTGTGAAGCTCTGAAAAATTGTTACTTTTTGAGAATTTTGTTCAATGAACGAAATGTTTAACATAAAGGAAGTGGTGTCTATTTATTAATGCAGTTGTTGAGAGTATAGACAAATTTTGTTTTGAAACTTTGAATAGTTTTTTTTATATATAGTACTGTAGTGAGTGCCTTGAAAAAATTAAGTAATACTGGCTTAGGTGATTTCGGGAGAACGAAGCATCAGAATAAAAAAAAATCCAAATTGATTTTGAATCAGTATCAGTGTCGTTATCGTCGGAACCAAAATTATTCTGACCGCAAAGAAATAAACAAATTGAACACCTTTTTTGTTCACGGGTTGCACATAAGTTCTTGTAATTATAATATTTATAGATTTGTCGTGAAAATTAAAACTTTTGTATTCAGTTTAATCGCACAATAAAGTATTCTCAAAGTTTCAAAGAGATTGGTTTACAATAAATTCCCAAAAATTCGTTCATTTTTAGCTGTTTACACTAGACTCCCCTTTAATGTAACATCTATGGCAGTCCTAATACAAATATTACAACAAAAGGTGTTTGCCTAAAAACATTTGTTCGGTATTGTAAATTCACGTTTTTCAAGAGTCGTTTTTTGATGTTCGAGTACGATCGACAAATAAGAGGGTATATAATTTTAGTAAAACTTTATCGGTTGCCAATGTGTTAACACGGTTTTCACGTACCACGATACGAGTTAACTATATTATAGGAGGGTAGCACTTTACACCCTTCCCACGAACACGGGTAACGTTACACACCTGCGATCAGCAGATTCATGTGGGTAACCAACTCGAGTGACATTTATTTTTTGCTTTCAGTGGTCAAGACGCTTTATTCGATTTACGAAACAACATGATGTCCTACGTGTTCAGCTTGTATGTAGATATGCACTCTGATTTACTTCCTGATTCATTCTTTCCACCGAATGGGTTGATCGAATAGAAGGAATTATCTATGCATTTGTCATTTAAACCTTCGCTATTACGAATTGCTATACACACTTCTCACTTTTGAAACTTTGGGGTGTGAGCCGTGTCGTTTTGGTAAAATTATACTGTTATGATACAAACTGTAGTATCAATATGTCTCTTAACCCCCTAATTAAGCTAGCTGCGATGCTTGCGAAACGTTTCACATTAGCCCAGAATAAAAATTTAGTAGTTCATACGCTTATTTAGCTCAACCAATGACATTTTGAAAAATTTTAAATTTTATTCAAATAGAAGTGGATAAACGAACAAATTTTCACACAAAATTCACACATTTCCTGGAAAGTTTTATGGTTTTCATAAATGTTAATTAAAGAAAGTAGGATTTCGGTAAAAATACTCAACAATTAACATTTTTTTGGCACGAATTTGCACTAGGCTACCTACTACGGGTTAATAGCTCTAGATTTAGAAATTCCTGTATGTTAGAGAGTGGAGAGAACTACCTGGGAGACCTAACGAATCACCAGAACAACCCTAGAAACAGGAATCGAGTAATACCTGCCCACTTTATCAGTTCCATCGCCCTTCGAGACGCCACTTACTTCGGCAAGTAGCATCAAGAACACGATCGAAATCCCGCATTATTACTGCCATTCTGTTATCAGTATACATAGCTTACAATTAAAGCGATCTCACGATAGTTGTCGTTTTGCGGCGAGAAAAACATACATATGCGAGCCCTTGATTACCATTACTGGTGTAAGTCGATAAATATGCTTTTGATATATTTAGAGATTTAGAGAAAATCTTGTGAAAGCCTTGTATCGATATACTCATATGAGTATCTACAGTAGCGGACGAAACATTTACCACTTTTTCGATTTATATTTATTATTTTTGAACATCAACTTAAAACTTCAGTATGTGTTTAATATATTATATATTCTGATAGAGAATTAAAAGTTGTACAAAACTCAGTATGTATATTAAGGAATTAAGTAGATGTTAAGAAATTATAAAAGTAAACAAAAGTCAGGAAATTGGTGACTTTTTTGTCCGCTACTGTATATTCGGATATACTAATTGTAAATGTAATCATTGCACTGGTCTTGCAAAAAACCATAACGATTAGATTATCTGCTGAAAATCCATTAAAACCTCTGCGCTGACCCAATATATTGATATAGACATCAACATCAGCTCATATTAAGATGATATACCCAAGACCCCCTGACTTATCACCAAAGCTAGAAATACACCATTTGCTCACACGATATAACAAAATTAGGGCTACCTTCCAACAATCTCAGCCAAAACTCATAAATCCCCATAAACCATGAATACTTTCAAGAACCCATACAACAACCACAAGACAACAAATGGAACAAAGAAACCACACGTAGTGTGAACAGGACAACGACTGTAGTGTTCCGTGGGGCCAAACGCTTGGGAAGCTGCTACCACGATACCGTGCTCTTAGCGGACAAATTGTTACCGGAGTGCACATACTCGATCCGGTTGATTCGTGCAATCAGGAAAATTGCCGGGCATTATTAATTCTGGGGGTCTTCCCGGGACCCGAGGAAAGGCATCCACGACGAAGGAGATCGAGTGTCGAAACGGGTCTCCGGGATAGGCGGTATATACGACGAGCTCCTCTAATTGGGTTCGCGTATCTTTAGACCAGCGTGTGCGCCGCCGCCGCCGCCCGCTGTTCGGTGGTGGTTCAGCGTAGGTGGTTGGATAGTAGCGTATATAGCTGGTTCTGGCTCGCGACGACGACGATGGCTAGGCCGCGTGTAGACGGTATCAATTATGAATCGTCGCGGTGGAATTATTCAGCGGTGCCCGTCGTCGCGATCAAACCCCGGAGAGCCCGAATCCGTCGTCGAGAGACGACGCGCCACGCGTGTATATACGTGATATGTACATATGTGCCCGCGGGGCCGGTGTGACATTTTAATGGCGTGCAGACAAGTTGAGGTCTTCACGTTCCTTCGGGGCCGGGTCGATAAAACCGCCCCCCCCTTCCCCGCCCTTCTCGTTTTTCTCCATTTTGCGACCGCGGATATAGCCGGCCGCTGGCTGAGTATCGCGCCCGGGACCGTGAACCAGTCCCGGAGCGATGAACCGTTGCCTTCTATCTAACGAGTGTTTCCGCTAATGAGTCGTGTTTGTTAACTTCGACGATCCTGGGATCGTCGAGATTGCCTGATCGATCGTGGAGGATACTGTATGAGACAGACGTTTCAGGGAGAATGTTTTCATCTTCTAATCGAATCGTGAAAGTTATTGTGATGCATTTTGGAAGTAATGATAGTTTGGCAGGAATGACGAGATTAGATTGTAGAAAGTACTCATGTGTTTGGAAAGGTATCTCTCGGTCCAATGAATGATGAGATTTCGCTGATCCTCTGCGAACTGGAAGCTTATGGAATGGTTAGGTCGATTGCGGAGGAATCACGAAAAGTGAACCTAGAGGTAGCTAAGAGTATTACGTTGGACCCATAGGAAGAAGCTGGAAGTGGTCAAGAGACCAGTCGGGTATTGCCTTAGATTTAGAGGCAGCGAAGGAGCTAGAAGTGGTCAAGAGACCACACGATTACTTTCGACCAGTTATACCCGTGCCATATGCTTTTTTATTGATAAACTGTACAATGATGAATCTCACAATTCGATTTGATACTAGAGGCAGCGAAGGAGCTAGAAGTGCTAGAACCCGTGCCATATGCTTTTTTATTGATAAACTGTACAATGATGAATCTCACAATTCGATTTGATACCGAGGAGAAACGTTGTTTGGAACGTTGGACGTAACGGTAGCTAAGAAGCTAGAAGTTGTCAAGACACCACTGGGGTATTATATTGGACCTAGATGTACTTAAATAGCTAGAAGTTATCAAGAGACCAGTTAGGTATTACTATGGATCTAGAGGTAGCTAAAAAGTTAGAAGTGTTCAAAGGACCACTCGGGTACTTTTGACGAGTCAGACCCGCGTTTTTATTGCCAGAGTGTACAAGGACGAGCCTTACAACTCTCTTTGAAATTGAAAAGAAATGTTTTTTGGAACGTTTGTACTACACAGAGTATTGAGTAGAGGACCCTATGTTGATGCCTTAACTCTAAAATTAGAGTTCGTGAGTTTTATACGTGAATCGGGCATTTTCTACTTTGTACTTAGAGTTTCATGAAGTCTCATGATTTGATTTTGAAAAATAATGATTCAGGAAAAGTAAATAATTGGGATAAAGAAAGTAATTGGGAAAAGGGCATCTGGGGTCATGAAGCGTTTTGTTTAGCTGAGAATGTTGAAAGTATAGGTCTGTCCGAATGTCCTCTCGTGTTTTGTCTTTCATTTAACTTATTTTATAATATATTTATTTTCTTCTTTAATTTGTCGTATTAGAATTACCGTCTAAAGCATGACGATGCTTCACCTGTCTGCTAATTTATACAATTTCTGCTGCATAAAAATTTTCTTTCAATTCAGATCTACTATATTATTAAAAATTCGGGTATAGTCGTCATTTATATTGCACAAAACTAAAAATTGAACAGCAGTAGCTGTCAGAAACACGAAATTGTTAAGTAAACAGCGTCGAAAAAAGGTGTTTCAAAGAGAAAAATGAAATTTGTTGCCTCGACACCTACCAGATTCCTCGGGCCATTGTACAGGTATGCAAACGCGGTCGATTTCGAGTCGTCAATCGGAAAATAACGGTTCTCCGGCGAAGAAACCATATTTACTCGTTTGTACCAGCTGGAAGAATCTTTTTCGAGTCGGAGCTGTCTCCTCTGACAGCGGTCGATTCGCTCGATCGCGAGGGAAGTGGAAATAATGAGAATGTCGCCGGCGCGCAAAGCGTTATTACCTGTACGATGACCGCACGCGAAAACGCTGGAACGCAGGGTACGTGTAGAATTACAATCTGTCAGAAAAATATTTGGACACCAGTATAATTTTGACTTCTAAACCCTATATTATGAATAAATATATAACGAGTAAGAAAAAGGGATTACACCGTATTGCATTACAGTATATAAGTAAATACTAAAAATAAAAAGAACTGTTGATCTATTACGCGCGGTTACATAAACAATAGAAGAGAATTAGAAGATGAGTGAATTTTGATACTACACAAATATTTAAACGCTTTACAATTTAGATACGTGTGGCTTTCGTCTCAACTACAGACATTCAGTTTGACAATAAGTTTCAAAATGACGACGGTTCGAAGCAAAGTACAGAGGGTAAATATCCCAATTACTTCCACTGTCCCTAATACTGCTACTTTATTTATTTTACTTAATACAAACTTAACGTATAAAGAATTGTGTAAAAAAAAATTTCTTATTAAATTGGAACTTTGATTTATATAAAACTAAAAAAATACATGTACTTGTATGTACCTGGTATTTAAAAGTTAATGTCGAAACATGAAAGTGCAATTTAAACGCCAAAAACACGACTACGTGAGTAGGAAGTGATGGCGAAATCATAGTAAAGAAAGAGCCATAATTTTACTATTCAACCTATGTCCATTGTATAAAATGAATTGTTAAAGTATATCAGAGTTAGTTGAATTTTAGAGGTAACAGTTATAGAAACACTGGGATTTCTCGCAGATTTGAAGTAATTATCAATTAATTCTTCATATTTTCAGTATAAAACTATTTTTTTAATATAGTAATTAATCTATGTAGAAACATTACATCGCTATAGAACTAATCTTGAATCTCCAATCTATCCGTATGAATTAAAAATTAATCTCTAGTTAAAACATAGACTTTTTTATTTCATGAATACCAAAAACTGTTACTTTCTATCCCTGTTTCCCGTACTATTTATCTCTATTAATTGAATCTACTAAAAATTATTGTCCACGATACAGTAAGTTCTTGATGACTGTTCGAAGGTTCCTCGGCACTAAACATGAAATATTTCATAAATTAATGGTCATATGCGGCTAAAACAAATATCATTAGCTTCAGAATTCCAAGCTCTATAGCGGCGTTAAACCTCATTAAAAGGCGAGCGTTACACCTGGGGATCTCTCATTGTCAGTGCCGAGGAGCCATCGAATACTCATCCAGGATTTACTGTAGTCCGAATTCACAGAGCTCGAGTTATTCTTCGTGCTCGTAATGAAACCCATGGATCATTTTTTGGTTTGGTTGCGCGCCATTTACGTGCACAACGGAACAATCTAATGAAGCCCCCGCGATCGTGATTATCGGGCGAGGCCAGGTCTCCCTGATTTTTCCTCGAAACGTGGGAACGGGACACGTTTTGTCCGCGTGGAGACCGAATGGCCGCCATGGCACCACGGATCTAACGGAACGGCATAATTCAGCGATTAACGTTCAATCACGCTAACACTGAGTGTCGTTTAACGTCGAGCAGCGGGTCCACGAATGCCATGATTTACAGTAAATCCTCGATGAGTGTTCGAAGACTGCTCGGTACTGACAGGGAAAGGTCTCCAAATGTAACGCCGACTTTTTGACGAGGTTTAGCACAGTGATAGCACTTGGAATTCGGAAGCCAATGATATTTGTTTCAGCGGCATATGGCTATTAGTTTGTGAAATATTTAATGTTTAGTATGGAGGAGCCTTCAAACACTCATCGAGGATTTACGGAAAAAAGTTGAGTTACTCTTAAATTAATAATTCTAAAATATCTTAATTCGTTCCATTCAGTTTATTTATTTAATAAAATCGTAACATTAAATTTTTTATTATTTATTGTATCTATTATCATATTGTTTCATTGTGAAAAAAGAACTGTAAAGGCACATCTATCCAAGAAGGTGTTCAAGAGAAAAAAGAGAACTTCTTCTTTTAAATAGTTTCTCGTGACTCGAGTCGAACGATTTACCTGTCTCAGAATCCAAAAAAGCACTCCGGTTCCGACAAGTTAAATGCGTCAGGCTCGATGGGGGCCGGTTCCTTCGCCGCGTATGAGTTACAAAGAAGCCATCACCGAACATCGTGTGTTCCCTTTAAAAAAGCAACACACCCAGGACCGCCGCCGCCTTGTCCATGACGTTTCCGCAGCCCTTAATTTCGCGTTTCGCTCGTGGTCGTTGGAAAATTTTCGGCCGACTGCAAAACGCGCTTCTCGGCCAATTATAAAGGTTGTTCTATAAAATCTCGCCCGGGATTATACAGGGGGCCCCGGCAAACCATCGGTTGGTTAGCAGCCGCAATTTACGTTCAGAGAAACAATCTTGCCGATTTGACAGAGGATAGTTTCTGTAATTGTAAGTCAAAACCGTGTTCGACCCTTCGGGCAACACCGGCTCTCGGAACAGCGTGTAACGATAGGGCTATATATGGGTGTGGCCCGAACGCCACGTTGCGATATTTTGTTGATAATTTTCGAACATTTTTTGTACGTTTCTCGTAGATTTTTTGAAGATTTTTCATGTAGTTTTCGTGGATTCTAGATGAATTCTAGATGAATTCTAGATGGATTCTAGATGGATTCTACATGGATTCTACATGGATTCTACATGAATTCTACATGGATTCACCATAAATTCTCCGCAGACTCTTGATAGAGTGTTGGTAGAATCTTGGTAGAATCTTGGTAGACTCATAGTAGACTCTTGATATACTCATGGTAGACCCTTGGTAGACCCTTGGTAGACCCTTGGTAGACCCTTAGTAGACACTTGGTAGACTCTTGGTAGACTCTTGGTAGATTTTTCGTCGATTTTTCACAGATTATTCGATTATTTTATTTTTCAGTTTCCCCCTTTCGATAGATGACCTTTAAGATTTCTATTAGGTCGTTACAAATGAAATGAGCAATTTCCCTGATAGCTATAATTGACGTTACTTCTATGAATGAGAATTATTAACATACCTCCTTTTCTTATTGCACAGAATTTGTATACTATAAAAAATGGCAATTTGTTGTGTGTATGACGAGTATACTCATTAAAAGCATTGTTAACACGTTAACTGTACTGAGTTTAAAACAATCGTGCATACGATAAATGTATAAAATCCACAGTCTATTCGTGATATTGCAGTTGGGAAGAATAAATAAACATTAATAAAAAAAAATAAATATTTTTCGGTTGTACAAATGAATTTAATGGCCCAGCGGTGTGATGAGAGCGAGTCGAAACGCATGTAAAATCCCTCCCGAGCCGAGCGGAATGAGATAAATCGCATGTTGCTCGCGGGTTCTCGAAGAGGAGAGGGAGGATGCTTTGAGCCAGCGTCAGGTGTGAGCGCACCTTCGGCATGGCCAATCCGTGGCCATAAAAGGTGCAACAATTTGGTTCTCGCGGGCAAAAAGCCGTGCCGGATTTGGGGGCTCGGTTGATGCGTTCGGTAAAATCGCCGCCACCTGCACGGAACGTAAAAATTTGTCTTTACCAGTTACGTTCGACTGCGAAATTGCCTGAAAACTTGGCACCGCTCTCGTATTTCTGCGCCCAACCTTCATTACTGTTTCGTCCTTTTGAACGACACTTCGTTAGAGTCGAAGGCTTCAGAGGATGATGGTGTTATGTTACAAATATTAAGTTTGTCGTAAAATGAGTTGAAATTGCATTCAATTGCATTCAGTTGCATATGTTCATTTTTACATTTTTATACATTTTACATTACAGTATATTATATTGTGTTCTGTCTTATACATAGCAATGTATTAATAAATTTAATTTCGTACACATTGAACACTGGTAGTTCTAAACTTTTGCAACGTGAATTAATGATATTCACTATGTAGTTCAGTGTGCCCTCTTGTATTTCACAAACCATATTTATATCTACAAGTCATACACGTACAACTGTTCAATTTCTGAAAGGGATCGCTAATAATCTACCTAATTGATGCGGGCAAAAATAAATTACCAAAAAAGAAAAGTAAAAAATCCTTGCATCCGCAGCTAAAACCGATGTTCCCATTTCGATTAAAAGGAAACGAAGTGAAAAAATTGTGCAAAAGATTACCGTGACGTGATTTCACGGAGGTACATATATGCTGCCTGGGGAAAACAAATGTTGTATAATTGCTGCAAATTCGATGTTACTGTAATTTACTCGCGAACCCGATAAAGAATTGGAAAAAGGTGGTTTAACTACATTGGAATACTTAGCAGATGTTGCTCAACCAGTTCGCCTCGGTATGATTCTTTTGGTTTCATTTAGCGCGCATCGTGTCGCGTCGTCTTGAGGTTGCATGCGCGAACTGCATGTACATATGTATTTTAGATTCTTCTCGTTACACGCGAGCACAATTTTAGCCCCTCCTCCCCCGCCCGCTACCCTCCGACTGGTACGGTAACCGTAATGTGTAA